CGACTACACGACTGACTCTACGCCCGCTGAGACCCTGAGTTCTCTCTAGGAGGAGGGCCCTAGGCAGCTCTGCTGGGGCCACACAAAGAGCCAGAGAAACAGACTTGGACCTAGGCATGGTAATCCAGTATAAATAAGAAGTGTCCTTAGAAAAGGACAGATAATTTAACATAGCACATGATGGGTGCCAGGTGAATGGTTTCCAGGGGTTTCCAGGCCTGACTATGCATGCTAATCAGCTGGGGAGAGATGATCAAATGGAGAGATTCCCTGCCTCACCCTGACCTACTGAACGCAAATACCCAAAAGTCGGGCCCAGGATAAGCTCAGGGCATTCTCTGCATGGCTAGGCTTGGGATCCCGCAGTGTAGACAGTGAGTGCTCCAAGTTTCAAGGTAGGAGCCCTCCCAGTGGGGGAAGATGGGACCAGAAGTCAACCCAAGCAGGAGGCACCAGGCAAGGCCCTGCACATTTGCGCTGGCCAGGGAGGATACCCATGTGGGATGGATTCCCACACCCTCAGCGCCCCCCACAAAGTCATTTTGGGGTGCACAGCAAGAGCCAGAGCCCGGATGTTGTCCTGGCAGCCGGTGAACCTCCTGTCTGCTCAGGAGTATTTGTGCCTGCAGCTTAGCAACCATTTTCTGATCTACACTGAGGGGAAATCAGAAGGAAGAGGGGAGAGGTATGCATGCTTATGTATCCCCAAAATGCAACAATAAAAAAAATGAGATTTTGCTACAGCAAGTACCTTGGCCATGTGCCAACAGAAACCAATGACACGGATTGTTCAAGCTGCTCTTGCTTCTTCTTGTCCTTCTATCCCTCCTTCTACCTTTACCCTCACTCCCAACCCTACCCCCACATCTGACTGTGTTCCCTATACCTCTCAGTTCAGCACCATAAAGGACTGAATGTGCCATAAAATGGTGAATTCAGAGATGTCACCAGGCATGTGTTGAACAAACTACATTAACTGGTTTGCTGATTTGGGAGTGAACAGTGAACATGCCTTTTTTTTTTTCTTTTTTAATTCTAAGGATGATTAAGACAAAGATCTAGTCTGAAAACTATAACTCTTATCTCATAAAGACTCTCGTGGCTTCCTAAATTCGAGCAAGCTGATGGTAGGCATTTCCACGTAAGTAGGCAGGGGAGTGCAGACACGGAAATCAAAGAACACAAGTGTATAAACATAATAACCATTTCTCCCAGTGTTCCCTCCTGCGGAGCTATTTCTGGTTCCTTCCTGTTAGGAATGATTAATTAGTTCAGTGGCTCATCAAAGGAAGGTCCCAGCACGGCTACCTGCCTGTGTATAGAGGAGAGGTCCCGAAAAGCTCTGGAACGTGCTGAACAAATTATACTTGGTGAAGATTTTGTTTAAATTTCCAGGATAGCGTTCACTGTAGAATGGCCAACACGTCCTGGTTTGTCTAGAACTGTCCCAAAGTGTGGCATCCCCGGCAGGCCCTCAGTCCTGGGCAGACCACGATGGTTGGTCACCCTGTTGACCGGCACAACCTCAGGCAGGCTCCGAGAGTGGATAACTCCAGGTCCTCTCTCCTCCTCACGCCCGCCAGCAGTTTCTCTCCCATGGCTGCTTCCTTTTCATGCTTCTCCCATACGAGGCAGTACAAACTCTCCCTGCCTGGCCCGGCCTTCTCTGTGCCCAGCCTTCTCCACGACCGGAGCTCCCAGGGGTCCGTTGCTGGGGGAACCTTGGGGCCAGCACCTGGGTGGCCTCTCATTGTGTGTCCCCTGCTACGCACGCTCGCCCATCCCACGGACAGTGATTCTCACCACAGGCGTCCCCAGGGCCTCATCCTACCTCACTGCCTGTCCCGGCCAGCTCAGGAATCAATATACAGAAGCCATAACCCCTCATCTTTCCTCACTAAAAATAAGCTCTTTCAGAGGAAGGAATGCTTTCCTCCTCTGTGCTTCTCAGCCAAAAGCCTAGCAGAGAGCCCGACACAGATTCAGAGCTCAGGGCATATCTGTTGAGCTGCAGAATGGAATGAACAGGCTCTTCTCCCATGGGGGGGATAAGGACATCTCCCACCATTGCCGGGGACTCCTCTCCCCAACAAGACCCTATTCTTTCTAGATTCCCTCCCTCACCTATTCATTAGGGGGAACTACCCCTTCCAGGTGGGGCCCTTATTTGGGCTTTCTACAGCACACTGCAAGAGGACCCGGTGTTTCCTGGGAATTGGCTGCCAACCCCACCATGAACCCAGTTTTCTTAGGGACCCAAACTTAGGAGCACTGCCCTCTCCATTCCCATGGACACACACACACACACACACACACACCACTCTTCTACCCCTGTCGCAGTTTTGACCAAATCTGGAGGGTCTGAGCACCTCCCCGGACATCACTAGGTGGTTCTATGTGGCAGTCCCTGGGCCTGCGAGAGTCAGGATGGGATTAGTTCTCCTCAACCAGCAGCTGGAGGACCCGCAGCCTGGGGATTTCTGCTCTGGAGGCCGAGAGGTCTGGGACACACATGCATCAGTAGGACCTCATCTGTATGCATCTAGGTGACAATGTGGGGTACACAACAAAGACGGGGAAGCCACCAGGAAGGGAAAGGGAGAAAATCTTCCAGATGCCATTTTGAAGCTAAGGCTGTGCATGAAACGTAAGGCATTCGGTCACTTCCGGGAGATGGGTAGCTTCTCACGTGAGCAGCCAGTTCCTTATTACTTCTTAAAATCAGTAAGAACAGTTGCTTGACTGGAGCGACTTGTCACTTTAATAAAAAGGAACACACTTCCCTACAATCCGCCAAAGCCCCAGTGACCTTCAGGCCGAGGTTTTCACGGCTGTATGTTTGTCTTTGTGGAATTCGTACATCAGGTATAATCACCCTTCACCTCCCTTTCATCTGTCCCTTTGCTGTGGGGCACATATGTCCCGTGGGGGTCACAGTTGGTGAAGTCGTTAGTTACAGAATGTTCTACGGGTGCTGCAGAAGTCACTGCCCTGGAGCCCGAGAGAGGACGCGACACCTCCAGTTAGCTGACAGAGCTAAACTGGGATGTGTTGTGATCATCACCACAGACAAAGAACAAAAATGGTATCACAGGTTGGAAATGCAGTAAGTTAATAAAAACGTTCCCATGGAAAAATACAAGCTACAGCTGGAGAAGGAGGGACAGGGGATGATGGGAATTCAGGAAACGGAGAGTCAGTGCAAGAGTGTGATCTGGAAAGCGAGGGAGCGGTTTATGGGGTGCGACAGGATGGGTGTGCAAAGCGATATGACAGCTAAATAAGCAAAGGGGACTTCGCGCCCCACAGCCAGCCGCATCTGGTGACCGGCCCACAGCCATTTTTTGCGCATCTATTATGTGCTGGGCATGTCGCACACAGTCATGTCCGCCTCCAGCGACGCTGTGAGGGAGGTGTTATCACATCCAAAAGGGAAACCGAAGCACCGAGAAGTAGCTCGCCCCGGATCTGAACCAGCTTGCAGACCCAGAAAGCAACAACCTGGAATCCAATTTTAAAATCTTTTTTTCTATACACTTGAGAACTGGCCATACTACTTGGTGAGTAAAGAGGCAAGGTCACAGGCAGTGACCTCCGGGTGTGGGGCCGTGGAAGGTGCTCGAGGACCGCGAGACAACCCGCCTGGGTTCCAACCCCCGCCCTGCCTCTCGACTGCTGTGTGGCTTTCAGAGTGTCCCTTAACCTCTCTGGGCCTTAGTTCCTTCAGCTGTACAGTGGGAAGAACATCATCCACACTGGGATGTGGTGACAATGGGGTGAATGTCAGTGCAGGCTCTTGGCTAAGTAAGTCGATGGTACTAGGTTACACGTCTTACGAGCCAACCTGTAAATTGCCCGCATTGTTGCTTCCCTGCTTTGGTCATGACCAGTCGGTTCTACTTCCTGCATCTCCAGTGTTTGCGATCTCAGACCCTGCTCAGCAGACGTGCCTGGACAGTCAGGCTCGAATGGCAGTCTGCAGTGAAGGGCTGGGGATGTGTCCTCCGCAGGACCCACGGCTGTCGCACATGCCAGCATCTGCCATCTCAGGAAATCGAGTTCTGAAGGGAAGAGGGTGACAGGGAAGTGATGGTTCTGGAGCCCGTCCCGAATGAAGACTGTCGCAGGAAACAAAGATGTAAACGGCTGCGCCATTTTCACATGTTTGACTAAATGAAGCGGAGGGGACTAATCTAGCCCACGTTGCTCCTGAGGTTGGAGCTCGGAAAAAAGGAACGATGGGGGTGGGATCTGGGGGGAGGGCGGTGGAAAGGGCTCTGGGCTTCAATGGCTTTGCTAGAAAAACAAGGTGATTCGATTAGACACCGTGTTTTCCAACAACTCTCGGACGGCAGTCGGGTGTCCTGCAATTCAGTTCCGTTCTGACACCGACCCCCCCGGAGTTGGAAGAGCCCCTCGTGCTAGGGGGCTCCGTCCCACCTGACTGTCCCCACTTCAGCTGCCAGCCACAGGTCCTGGGTCCCCAGGCTACCCACACTAGTGTCCGGCTTGACTACAGATTGGAGGGTTCTCCCAGCCCGGTCAGCCATCTCATTAACAGACACTCAGGTATGGGGAGAAAGGGGCTCATTATGAATAACAAAAATACCCCCTTCACTCCAGAAATTCCAAGGGTTTTAGGAGCTCCGGGCCAGGAACCTGAGACAAAGGCCAAATATACTTTTCACTATACCATAGATACACTTTAACATCCCTTCTGTCTCTAACATGATCTATTTAGTGGCTTTCAAACTGATGACGAGGTTCAGTTCTGCTCCGTGTAAGAAAATACCTTTATAACTAGAGCTCTCTGGCAATTTCAGGGGTTGCATCCAAAGGTCTGTGCTACCTGGAGTAGGACGTGATCCAGCCGAGGTTGGATGACCCCACTGGAGAATGCTGAGAAGGAAATCCCCACATTGGGTGCTAGTTTGGGCCAGATGCTCACTCATCACGATGGTTGGGACACAGTGTAATGTAACTGCCTTGCCTGGTTTCAGAATCAAGAGACACTTCCTTTTTGGATGAACAGCACTGGCAAGAGGGAAGGTTGGCAGCACGGTTGGCACGGCTATGACAACGAGCTCATGGACATGAGGGGCATCTTCCTGGCCTTCGGACCCGGTAGGCAAGACATGACCCCATGCTTTGTCCTCCGTTCCCAAAGAAGTGGTCTCCAGGAGGGGCTGACAGCACTCGTAAAGGCTGAAGTGATTTCTTTATGGACCTCTTTATGAGCAAAGCGGAGCAAACCCAGCTGGTCTCCATGAAACATCTTTTGCTGGCTTGCTTTCAAATGCTTCGTAGGTTTGGCAAATGCAGTCAAATGCTTTTCCTTGTAAATTTTAAATCTTGAGCGCAGGGAAGAAAATGTATTCCACATGTTTGTGATTCATTTTTTACTTAATTCATCAAAATGTTATTTCACAGCTATCTGATGTCCAGGAAAGCTTATCAGACACCAGGTTGCTGACAGCTGTGAGTCTCAGAGTTGATGTGATCACTTCACAGGGTCTGACTCTTCCACAGTTCCTCCCTGTCTAGAGCACCCATGCCTGTGGAGGTCATTCGGTTTAGGGCCCAGCCAGAAGCTGGGATGTGCTCAAGGCCAAGCTAGGAAATGACCTTGAGAATGACTTTGAGAATGGGCCAGAAGGCCCAGAGACAGCTTGGATGAAAGCAAATTTACTCTGCCTTCTTTGACCAGAAATTTCTAAGTTTGGAGTAGAGGGGAGATGGAGAGGGTCTATTTGGTCATTTGCTTTAATTGACAGAGGAATGTAAATTCACATTGTGGAAACGTTTATCAGACACTCTGGAGATCATACTATGACCCAAACACCCCTTTCTTTCTTAAAAAAAAAAAGCAGAGGTGGGAGAGACATTCAACAGCGGCCATCAACCATCAGTTGACTGGCTCATAAGCTAGTCTTCTCCCTTACGACTGTCCACTCTCCTTATTAAATGTAATAAACTTACCCTGACATCCATACTCCAAATGCCATTTTCTGGATGTAGATCAGAATGTTTCAGCCTATGACAGTCCATTCTTCCCTTTCAAAGTATAGGTTAGAAGCCATGCCTAGAAGGTCTGCTCTTCTTGATGTAGAAAGACAAAGATCTATGTTGACCCCTCTCGTTCCATCTGCCTTGGGTCACTCTCCTTACCACAAAATAGCTGCTGAGAACAACTAGGTGTCCATTTCTGCATGCTCCTTGGGAGCCCCTGGCCTCCTGGGCTTAGGGAACACACTGGTCCAGATCCTCTCCCATACGTGATCCAAGTTCCCAAGCCCTGAAGTACTGCTACATTGGTGCTGCTACGTGAGTAGCAGCAAACGTTTATAGAGTGTTAACTGGGTTCACAACATTGGCCTAAGAGAGTTCAGAGGATGCCCAAGCACATTGCCATCAACCAGTGATCGTTATTGGGTGCTCCCTGTCAACCAAGCCAGAGGTTATATCTGACCTGGTTGGTCAGATATAACCTCTTAGACTATATTCAACATTAATTCACCAAAGAGCTCAAAAACATAATGAATGAGGGATGGAGCCTTAAGGATTTTGTTGAGGTCAACTGTTCATTAGATTAGGTTGGAGATATTCCAAGGCCGCAGGCTTTACATGGGAGAACATTAAACATTAGGGCTTTCATTCAAAAGCATCACCTCCTCCTTCCTTAGAAGAGAGAAATAAGATCATGAATGCAAAACAGTTGTCAGTGGAAGGAGTGTTTATAAACAAGAGTCTCAGGCATGTTTCAAAGCAGAAGCAAATCTAGCCTCAAACCAAAATTTTAAGACAGAGTACCCAAAGCTACATTAGCTTAAAGTTAAATTCAGAGGGGACAGTTTGTCCATCAACAAAGGCCTCCATCACATGCTCCTGTAAAACTAAAAACCTAAGCCTTTTATAGACAGATAGAAGATGACCCCTGATGAAAAGGGACTGGGCCAACTGCAAAAAATGTTTCCAGGCAGAGACCGCCTTGAGAGCCTCCCGCAAACCATCACGTCTCTGGCTCCAATTCTCATGAAAGATTGAACAGCTTTACACACTGACTGTTTACTCAGAAGAAAATTTAAGAGTGAGGCCTTTAATAGCTATCTAGCTGCACTTTGAGATAAAGGTACATGCCTCCTGATTAATTATATGCACTTCTTGACTTGGGGAGGATGCTGGGCATCATTGCAGCTGCTCAGATGGAGCTTCAGAAGCCAGTAAGTCTGGTCCGGCAGAAAGAAAAGGAAATAATTCTGGAAGATAGCCTCTCTCTGGTTAATCCCAGTTTCTAATTTGAACGACCTAATCTTGCCCTGGAGAACTCCACATTTCAAGATAAGACAGCAGGAGTGTGATTCAGTGAGCTGCCTGTGAGCTAGCAAGCCTCACCCGGAAAGCAGTCCAAGGTGGCCAGGCCTGGCATGGGGCTGCAGAACCTTCTCTCTTTAGGAGAAACACTTTCAATATCCACAAATTTAAATTCATGGAAATAACATGGATTGCCAATCCAGGTTCAGCATGCCACCTTGAGTTAGCAGAGGTTGGCCAGGTCCTCCCCAGCTGGATCTGGTATTGTTCTGCTGTTCCGGAGTTTTCCAGAAGCTCTCATTCTAGCCTGGATCCTCTGTTCTTTGGGCCCAAAGGCCCAGCTCAGCAGCATAGGAAGTCATGAACCAGATGGAGTTGGGAGGGAAAACCTAATTCTTCTTCCTGCTTATGTGCATAAGATTTAATTTTGTACTTTCAGTGTAAAATCTTTTCTAATTTTTTTTTTTTTTTTTTTGTCAGTAGAGCTTGATCTCAGTTTTTCCTGCTGAGTGTTAAAGACATGGGCATTTGGAAGGCTGGGGAAGGATATGTTGGGTTTACTGTCCGTTACCCACACACCCTCCCCACCCACACACATGACGAGGACATGGCCACCATGTGGCAGGGCAGTGTGGTCATCACGTCCAGGTCCATGGCAAGTCGGAAGGAGAGATGCAAGTTGCTGCCACATCACTGGGACAACTTTTCCATTGATTTCTCACACTGCAGCTGATTCTTCTCTGGGGAAGTCTAACCACCATCCTCACCTAGTTGTAATTACCTTGATATTAGGAAGGGTTGGGATTCTGGGGAAGTCCTAAATCTCCTCTCCAGGGGGGGTTCTGGATTTTGACTAGTTTTTACCATGAGGTGATGTTGCCTTATCCGTTATCCTTCCTGCCCCAAAAGTGAAGTGAATCCCCCAAATAATTTATGGGTGAAATTTTCAGTCCATAGTATGCCCTTGTGGGGTGTTTACTCTACATGCTTATTAATAAGAATAGCTACCATTTATTGAGCAGATGCAGTGTGCCTGGAGCTATGGTTTAGGTACCATTTCTATGCCCATTTCCTGAGCTTATCTAGCTACTAAGTGGCTGGGAGCTGGTTGTAGAGCCTATTAACTTCTTATGCTAAAGTCAACATTACTTCTCCAAAGTGATCAAAATCTATCACTTGGGAAGTTGGCCTGGATCTAACATACTCTGGGAGAGTTTTCTGAATAGAACTTCTTTCTGTACTTGTAATTTCAGGGTTAGTATAAGAGCAGGATTTGGAAAAAAAGAAAGAGCAGGATTTGGTGTTGGCACTTCTGGACTCTGTTGCCATTGGTGTTTGTTTGCTTTTTAAATAAAGTACATGTGATCATTTTAGCAAAGCAATTATAGAGGATTATTTTCTAAGGTAGAAAACTTGGCTTTACAGCCCCTAAACCACCCATTTCCTTTCAAAGTCTTACACGGACTAAAAGCACAAGCAGAGGCCTTTATGGATGGATAAAATCTCCTTCTTGAATTCAAGCTCAATGTAGCTCTGGTTTGGGGCCCAAAAGGGAAACTGTTATGTACACCACTAACCTCTTACACTCACTCTTTGAACAGACAAGTACTTGGTTTTCAGCCTCTTCTTGGCCTCCTGTGGAGAAGGAGAAGGTGCACTCTTGATTGAAATCCTTCCGTACTCACTAGGCTGTGAACGACTAGCCCTACCTTCTAGATTCCTGCGTCACCGCTAGAGTCTGGTGCAGCCTCTGGGCGGAAGCAAGCACAACACTCTTCTCCACTGCTCTCAGGGCTTTCACCCAGGTCCCTAACTCCAATACCAGTTTGCTTGTTTTCCACTCGGCTAAGTTATTTTATCTGCTAGTGAAAGACTCCCAAGGAATGTTTGGTTGGTTCTCCAAACATATTTAAGAAACCAGTGTTGCTTCTGAGGTAGCCAGCACTGAGGAAACCGTAGAGATTCACATCCCATGAAGCCCTGAGACCTCGATGTGGCAGGAAAATGAAGAAACATTCTTAAGTGGCTCTGGGATGCCCTGGCCAACCAGCTGATGCTAGATAGACGTTCTAGAAGATAAGCATACTGTGTAATTGGGTTTGGGGAGCTCAGCAAGACAGTCAACCTTCTGTGACCACACCTGCTCTCCAGGGCTCTGCGGAAATGAGCAGCAAAAATGGAGATGCCCTTCTGCCTCTCCAGGAGGCAGCTCTATGGTCAGGAAGGCATGACAGTTATGCACAAAGACAATCTGCTGATTTGTCTGTCTAAAGAAACTCATCTCCATGAGCCATAGAAAGCAACATCTTTTTGTGAGCTATACCCCTTCCAGATACCCTTCCAAGTTCACCATGAGTTGGCCACGCCCCATTGACAGAGCTGATTTCCGGGCCCAAAGCTGCCTGGAACCTGAGTATAATTCTCTGTGTTGTGACTTGGCCCCCTTTCTGCCCAGGGCATGGCTGTGACAACTTGTTTTCTTGCCTTTCCCTTTCAGATTTCAAATCCAACTTCAGAGCTGCTCCAATCAGGTCTGTGGATGTCTACAATGTCATGTGCAACGTGACAGGCATCGCTCCCCTGCCCAACAATGGCTCCTGGTCCAGGGTGATGTGTATGCTGAAGGACCAGGACAGCTCGGCTCCGTGCATCCGACCGAGCAGCTGTGTTCTGGTCTTGATTCTCCTCCTACTGTTTGCATAGATGCTGCTATTGTTGTCCCCAAACACTCAGCCAAGTGTGCCTCCATGGTGGGATGGTTTTCATTTTCTATTCGAATAATAGCTTCATTAATACAATCAAGGCCACAAAAATTGTAAATATAATTCTTGGATGATTCCATACAGAAAAAAAAAATTTAATTTCTTTAAAAAAAAAAACATTTTAAACTTCTTTAAAAAAAAAAAACAAACACCAAAAACCCCAAGCTTTATTTCTTCTGGAGGTAAGGAAAACCCTAGCTTTTCATTGGTTCAACTATGTGTCATTTTCTACATTGTTTGCATGCAGTTACTCAGATGAACTGTCTGAGTAAGAGCTCACCCCTGAGGCAAACAGACTTTGAGTGGATATTGCATGGAGTCTCGGGCCCCTCTGTGTCCTGCCTTGCACAAAGCAGGCCCTTGTCTGTGTCCGGTCCACACCCAGGAGCCATCCTTGGGGTTTATGGCCACAATCTTGTACTGCTCCTTCCATCCCAGAAAAAAGAAGTCCACGTAAAAGCAATAGCTGTCTTCTGTTTTGGGTCCAGCTCATGGAGTCTTTTTCATTTTATACCAAGCCCCAGAAAGGTCGTATCTTAGCTTGGCTCACCAATCAAAAGTACCAAGGATTGAAGAACTCATAGAACAAGGTGAAAGATGTGGGTGCCCTCCCAAACTCTTGAGTGCACAAAAATGTCTCCCTTGCCTTGAGGAGCAGAAAAGCTTGCAGCAGACCCAGGCTTCTGTGAGACTTAGCACAGTCTGTCACAACATGGAAGCTTGCACATGGTGGGCCCTATATGTGTGGGTGGACTAATGGATTCCCCGCCACGCTTTGGATCCCCAGACAGAGTATAGGCTATAGCAATACCTGACATATCATTACAGGCTGATACATCTTGCTGATGACTTGTGGACATGTTTGCAGAAATCTCAGTTCACTGCTTAGAATGGTAGCACATTAAGTTCTATGCACCAGGAGTCTTGGAGCAAGGCTTGTGGAATAACACCAGCAGAGTGTATCCTGAGGGACCCAGAAGCCCAAGGAAAATGGTGGGGGTGGGGGTGGGGTGAGGAATGGAGAGAACACGATGGAACTGAATCCCGAACCAATTAGCCATTTGATTAGGAAACGGTTTGGTCAAAGTGCCACCTCAGGGACCTAAGTTGTTTGGAAGCCCCTACGAAGAGCCACTGAGCCCGAGCTGAAATGTTTTCAGTTTAGTCATCTAGATTTGCTGTAGGAAATCTTGTTGTGAAACAAAACATAACTGCATGTTTAAATGATCAGAGTCACATAGACATATCATTGCGTTAACAGTGAGTTTGCACTGAATGGGGCACATCTGTAAAAGAGCCTTTCTGTCAGGAAGAGATAGCACATCAGGTCTCCTCAGGATGATGAAGCCCTTTTATAGCGTTTGCCTTGAGAAATGAGCCCCGATTCAACACTCACCCCGATTCAAGAGGGTTGGGAACATCTCCATGCCTTGAATCATGAGAGCAAAAGATCACCACTTAAAAAATACATATACCAAATCTGTCATCACAAAAGATTTCTAAGGATTCATGTAATGTGTTTTAAAAGTGACAGCAAGCCATCGAATCAATTAGAAGAAGGCAAATCAGCCTTTGCTATTTGGCTGAAAGCAAACTGGTGCTCTCAGAACATTGGGCAGGGCTGTTGAAACAGGCATCCGTTGTTCAAAGTGTCCTTTGTCCGGGAAGGACAGTGTGGAGCTCACCTTCTTTCCTAAAATAATGCATATGTTTTAGTGGCTTAATTATTTGGCTAGAATTTTTTTCCCTTTGATTTTTATTTTAAAGTTACATTATTTTCCCCAGGAAATTTTTCTCTAAATGTGTTCTGTTCCTTTAGAGTAAAATCTCCTACATATAGACACCTTTTCTCCTGGATTATGTTGCTACTTCACTGCTAATTCCAGGGGGACGATAATTGGGTTGACCTGCAAATACTGAAGATAAACCAAACGAATGATCCTTACATTAAAGATGAGACGAATAGCTACTTTCCCTGCCCAATGTCTAATCTCCAGAGCCCAATTCAATTAAGTTCTGAAGACGTAAGCATAAATTAGAACAGGCCCAGGGACTTCTTTCTAGCCTTGAAGAGTCCTGATTATAGAGCCCCAACTCTACTTTTAAAATATTTTATTTATTTTTCAACAGAGAGAGAGAGACAGTGAGAGAGGGAACACAAGCAGGGGGAGGGGGAGAGGGAGAAGCAGGCTTCCCGCGGAGCAGGCAGCCCGATGCGGGGCTCGATCCCAGGATCCTGGGATCATGACCTGAGCCGAAGGCAGACGCTTAACGACTGAGCCACCCAGGCGCCCCCCAACTCTACTTTTAAAGAGAACCTGGAAATCCACATCAATCTGAGTTCAGTCACTGACGGCCATTTGCAAACTTCCTGGGATTGTAAGCATCATCTGGCCTGCTTCCAGAGATGGAGGTTTGGAGGATCTGGGTGGGACCTCAGACAGCACTTGTAGGTTTGGGTTTGCTCTATGGAGAGAAAGGTTCTGGTTAGACCTTGGTAGACCTGGGTCTTCTGACAGCAATTTCATAATCCTCCAGTTTCTCCAGAGGCCATCAGACTGGTATCGACTACCGGTCCCAGCTGGGTCAAGTTTCCAGCCCTCTCTAAACCAAAGCAGATTCGCAAGCCTCAGGGATGGAGAGAGGCACCGAGAGGGGCATTATTTTAGGAAAAAGTGTTTTCTCCATTTAGTGTCTGAATTTTCTTTATTATTTACCAATATTCATGATTCCAAAAGTATCTTACTCTCATTCATCTATTTAAGATTATTTATTAGCTACACTCTGTCTATACTCCGTTCCCGTGAGTCTAGGATTCCCAAGAGCACTATCAAACAAACTCATTGTTGAAGACATAGGCCTATTTTATGGATTTTCTAAAAAAAAGAGGTTTTTTTGCATTTCTGTAAATATCAAAAGACTTCCAAATGTGATTGTGTGTTTAATCTTTTTAAACAATTTTTGATAGACCAAAGTCAGCTCTTGTAAACTACTTGCTAGAGGGAAGGGAGGTGGTAGTCTTGGTAGACTGGTTCTAAAACATGTGAAACTTGGTCTCAGGTGTATGCTATGAAAAATAGACTTGTGTGTGTTGCTTGGAAATCATAAAATAGCACCTAGTACAGTGCATCAAATGTTTAATAAATGTTCCATAAATATGTGCTGAATAAAAAAATAAATCTCATAAAGGAGATCTGCTTACACTTCAGATATTCTCTTTGTCTATAGTTCCACAAATTAAAAGAATGATTCATTTTTGACTAGCTATCTTTTCTTATCACCCAACTGATAATATAATTATACTTCATTCCATGGATTAAACATAGTCCATCCCAGGCTTATGAATTTGATGATGGATGGAAAGAAGGAAGGAAGGAAGGGAGAAAGGAAGGGAGGAAGGAAGGAAGGGAGATTAGATTTTGAATATACTAAGCATAATATATTTTTTAGGATAACAGCTTTATCAAAATTTAATTCATATACCATATAATTCATCCACTTAACGTATACAATTCAAAGGCTTGATTCTAGTCACAGAATTGTGCAACCATCACCACAATCAATGTGAGAATATTTTTATCACCCCCAAAGAACGCTATATCCATCCACAAGTGCCTTAGCGGATCAGTCCCCATTTCCTGCCCACCCTGCCCCCACCTGTCTCAGGCCACCACTAAATTACATTTTATCTCTACAGGTTTGCCTATTCGAAGTATTTCATTAAAATGGAATAACAGTATATTGTCTTTTGTAGCTGGCTTTTTTCACTCAGTGTAATGTTTTCAACGTTTAGCATGAATCAGTACTTCACTCTTTTTATTTCCAAATAATACTCCACTGTATGGAGTGGCTACATTTTATTTATCCATTATTTAGTTGATGGACATTTGTTTTTTTTCCTCCCTTTTTGGATAGTATGAATATTGGTACTCTGAACATTCATGTATGTGTTTTTGTGGACATATGTTTGCATTTGTTTGGGGAATATACCTGGAGTGGAATTGCAGGATCACATGCTAACTCTATATTAAACTTCTGAGGAACTATCAGACCATTTTCCAAATTGGCTGCACAATTTTGCATCCCCACCAGCAATGTAAGAGGGTGCAAGTTTCTCCACATCTTCACCAACGCTTGGAGTCATGTCTTTTTTGTTATTATTATTACTGCCATCCTGGCAGGCATGATGTGAGATCTCATTGTGGTTTTGATTTGCATTTCTCTCATGACGAATAACGTTGGGCATCTTTTCACGTGCCTATTGGCCATTTGTCTCTCTTTGTTGAGGAAATGTTTATTCAAACACTTTGCCCATTTTTTAAAACTGGATTTTTGCCTTTTTATTATTGAGTTGTAAGAATTCTTTATATATTCTGGATTCAAGTCCCTTATCAGATATATGTTTTGCAAAAACTTATCTTTCCCTGTCCTATGGGTGTTCTTTTCACTTTCTTTGATAGTATCCTTCATGGCACAAGTTTTTAATTTTGACAAAGTCCAATTAATCTATTTCTCTTTTCATCAGTTGTGCTTTTGTGTCCTATCCAAGAAAGCTTTGCCTGACCCAAGATCATGAAGACTTACTCCTCTAATTTGTTCTAGGAGTGTTACAGTTTTAACTCATATTTTAGGTCTATGATCCACTTTGAGTTAATTTTTTCTTTATTGTGGGAGGAAGTGATGGCTACCTCATTCTTTTGCCTGTGGATATCCAGTTGTCCCAGAATTGTTTGTTGTGGGCATATTGACTTTTTAGAGAAATGTGAAAATGATTCTGTTGGATATAAACACTTTTTAAAAACTAATAATCACTCCAGAAATGTGAATTTTTTGTACTTGAGGTTACACAACACTGGATATGCAACACAGTGTTTGTTTCCTCATACTCCCCTTGACCAGGTTAGGCCCCCACTCTACTCTGCCTCTACACACTAGCTTCACACAACACCCACTGTGGTTCTCTGTCCCACACTGATCAAAATTCTAATCATACAATAATTAAAGTTCTTGTTTAATATTGTCTTTTTTTCTCACTGGAATTTCCATTGAGAAAGATAGTGACAGTGTCTTATTCACCCAACAAAATGCCTGGCACACAGTAAGTATTCAATGGATATCTGCCGAATGCATAAATGACTTTGCATTTTATTGCATTTTCTTCCCATTTTTATAAGTGCACCCACAACCTCACACACAGAAATCACAAATATTTTTTAAAGCTCCTGCTTCACCATTTTAATCTCCCCTCTGGCCTTCTTATCTAACCCCATTTTTCCTAAGTAATTACTTACCTTGGTTTTCCTTTGGCACTGAGAAATGTTGTACCTCACAATTATCTTTATTTCTATTTCCTTGAATTCATACACATTCTATTTTGCATGAGTTTGTTTTGCATGCTAAATATGGGAACAATTATATTTTTCTTCCCTGTCTCATTAGATTATAGTTTTCTTGGAAGCAAAGAGCTTCCCTCCCTCCCTCCTTCTCTTTCTTTCTCCCTTCCCTCCCTCCCTCCCTCCCTTCCTTCTTTCTTTCCTTCCTTCCTTCCTTGGAAGGTCAAGATTTGAGGGGACCCAATAATCGGCATCCATGCTTCCTAACTAATTTTGTATGTAATTGAGGTAGACCAGGGTTTGGTAGATGGAGGGTGAAACATCACCTTTATTACAATAAAGCTGACAGTTACTGGACAATGTGGCATATAATGTCACACCTCTGAATCACATAGACTGGCCCACCAAGGCCCTATACCTATAAGAGCTTTGCAGCCTACAAGAAGGGAAGCAAATGGTGTGTCAAACATGAAGGCACGGAGACTAACCACAGCAGTTCTGGAGTTAATTCCCTGAACCCTAAACACCTGCTAGGATGTTTCTTCTCTGGGTCACCCAGCACGCTTACTGGGCCAGGAAGAGTCCTTAAGGAGCATCACTGTGGCAGTTCCGAAGTTCACCGAAGTGATTCAGGAGGACTCAGCGTGGCCTGATTCGTGGTGAGGCCACACAGAACTGCCTGTAATTTGGCCCTTGGAAAGGAGCTCCAGGTATCTCACTTGACTCTGCCCTTGCTTGAGCCCACCTGGCCCTACTTGCTGTCCTGGCCTCCCTGCTGTGCTCGGACTTACGGAACTCCAAATGGATTTCACATTTTTGACAGAAGCCCTTGTAGATAAGGCATAGTTCCATGAGATAACATTCTCCCAACCATGAGTCTTAGCTTAACTCCTAG